CCGGGATGTTTCTGTAGTGAAAAATTCAGATAATTTTGTTGATTCTGACTCCAACTGAAGATTATACATTTCACTCAGATGGCTTTGAAGAGATGGGTAGAGAACATCATAAAAACTTGCCTCTGATGGTGCTACGTGGCCTGAGACATTTAGAACTTCGCTCTTGGTGCAAGTCAAGGAAGACCAATGAATAATAGAGAAATGTGACATAAGATAGACATCGTGTTTTGAAGTTGCCCATACTAAGTTCCTCAACTGTGTCACAAGAAAAATAGACAGTGTTCAGTGTTCACAAAAAAAGTACGAGGAAAATTACATAAAAGTACCATGTGGTTGGCATATTTAGACTTTGGGATTTATGGTTTGTTTTCACACAAACCGGGGTTTGTGGAATTGCACCGTCAGCATAAGAGGAGTCAACACGCTAACAGTGTTAAATCTTGTTGATGTGGCACATATTTGGCAATTTTTTGTTGGCTTGGTTTTTAAAATTTCATTTTATATCGTACATGGCACCATGTGATAAATGTTACCGTTCATACACAACCACTGTGACTACATAATGACGGCCTACGGCTACCGCGGGACGTGAGTGATGCCGCTGATCACGGAACTGTTTACAAAAATAATTGTTATAAGTAGTGTATATGAAAATAATCTTTGGGTGAATTTTTTTAAATGTTTCCATCATTTGCAATGGAGCCAAACACTCACTATTCTTTGGCTTGAAAATAAGATGGAATAAAGCAAAACGGCTCACTAAACTGTTTGCGCTTCTTTGTTATGAAGCAACGGTCAGTCCATGCAATTTTGGACGTGATTTTCAGTATGGGTCATCCGGAAACAGTCTCTTTGTGCTTTAGTACAGGGGTAAGACTGCGTACATCCGACTCCCCCTTACCCCACCGTAGGTGGGAGCCTTTGCGGCAGTGGGGTAATGATGATGATGGTGGTGAATTTTTTAAATGCTAAAAACCTTACAAACTCTGTCTCATAATGTAAGATACATGTGGGTTTGATGCCGGTTTTAAGAAAGTAAATAATAAAGTGATTGCTTTACATTTCTAACTTCCAAAAAGTAAGAAAGAGTAAGATGGGTCCATAAAAGGTAAAAGGTGAAATGATAAAAGGTGAAATGATAGATAAAGTGGGAAAGTAAAAAATTAGTGGAGTTCAATTTAGGAAAGTGTTCATGTTGTTTGGACAACCTAAAATGGAAAATGTATCTTATAATGTAGGACGGAGGGAGTATTACTTGCATTAAAATAACTACATAGAAACAGTCACTAGCTATTAATAAAATTAAAATTAATCAAAAAATATTGAGCAATTTTTACGTTCTTAATATAATTAATACAACATAGTTTTTAACTTAGTTAAAAAAATCATAATAAATTAATTTTTCTTAACATTAATGCGCAAAATATTAATCCACAGCGGGTATCGATGATCACGGAGTATATATATTTTTCTAGTCTTGATATGTAAATATACAGATATGCAAATATAATCCATGACTGGCAGCCATTGTAGGCAGTGGTGGGTAGTGATGGTGGGTGTCAGCACTCAGCACAAGCAGCGAGCCAGCACCAGTGTGAGCAGCAGCTAGCTGGCAGAGGCAGCTAGCACCAGTGTGAGCAACAGCTAACTGTTAATATGAGATCACGACGGCTCATATTAACAGTAAGATTTAATACATTAGATGACACGTGGTGCCACTTAGGATCAAAATTGAAAAAAATACAACAACAAATTATTGAATATGCACCTGCGCCACATCAGCAAGGTTTAATGGCATTAGTGTGTAGACACCTCCCTCCCATACTAACAACACAATACCACAAACCCCAGTTTGTACTAAAACAAATCAAAGCCTAACAGTTCCCAATCACAGGGTACTTTTCCGGACTTAAGTTCTTATCACACTTTTTCCATAGTTCTCAACACACTTTTTCCAGCTGCTATGGAACCTAGTTTCATTCACATAGATCAATCATGTATATACAATTTAGCCATTTAGGTATTTATCTTAAACATACTTCCTTTGTCCCCTTTTAAGTTACCATTCCCCTTTTCAGCCTCCAAAAATAATCTTCTGATTTGTTTAAACATGAGAATAGTTAAAAAAATAGTTGATATTGATTCTTTCCTTTCTATATGAATCTCAACTGAACCGTTTTTATTTTATCAAACTCCACCTAAAGTCAAATGGGGTGAACTAAATTGTGATGGAGAGAGTATATTACCGTTCTACTTTATCTTTCTATATGCAAAGCAAAAGATAGCTTCAAAATCTTGAAGAATCTTATATAAAAATGGTCCAAACCAGCAAGTTACATGTTTACAGAATATTTATTATGTATTTATGTCACGTTAAAAGTATCATTAAACGAACCCAGCAGCACTGCAGTTAAATATTAGTCTCGGAGAATCACACTAAAGCAAATCTAATTATTGAAAAGAAAAAGGATATGAATTCCATATGAAGTTTTTACTTAAGAAAGATACATCATTGCTATCAGGTATCGATCAATGGGTGCCAAAAAAGTGGTTACCTGGAAGTGTAAAATTGTTGATTTTACAGATCTAGAATTACGTCTAAACTCATAGTATGAATTCCGTTTTTCTGTGGCTTTACATTCCTGTCCAAAAAAGGATATTATATCAGGACTGGCACACAAAATAAACCATGTAGCAATAAAGAATTCCTAAAGGCATATACCTTCTCTGATATATCGCCAGATTGAGGAATGTTTTCATAGTTCTTATACTGCTCAAGTCTAGTCTTTCTGTATTTCTCTCTTGTTATGCTAAGTCGTTCCCATGGAATTCCTTGGATGTCTTTCCCCCTCCTTGCCTCAGCAGCAGATGTGTCTTGCATTTTGTTGTTCTATATTGGAAACAAACAGTCTAAATGAATGGACTTAAATGATACAATACAAACCAAAAAATTAATACTAGAAACCCAAACATAATAATAACTTAATTTCACATGGATGTGTGCAGACCATGTAGTCATATTCATCCACATCAGAGTCTGAGCCAGCCATTTCTCTGCCATGAAACTCATCTTCCATATCATCGACATCCTCCATTTCATACTCATCAGCCATGTAATCAGCATCATCCCCTTGATGAGACATGATTTACTGCCACACCACCTAACTAAAAACCACAAAGAGTAAGGCCTGAACAAAAACCCAGCAAGCTACTTATAATGAGTACTCCAGAGTTGAAATGGAAAAGAACTTAAAAAATATTTCAAGTCTACTCAACCCATTGTTAAAGAAAACTCAGGAATAGAAGGTACTAATCTTCATCTTATATGCCGTCATCAATGAATACCTACTCAACCCTATCCAATCACCCGACCATAACAGCCAACTCAAAATGAAAGAGATATCCAGAATTCTGGATATCAAATTAAATAATTGTTACTTGCTATTTGACGCAAAGAAAGGAGCTTTTAAAAACCACACCTCCAGAGAAAAATAAAAAACCACCTGGAATAAGGATGGAACGAAAATTAATCTTCAACGCCCTAAAATGAAAACAAAATCGTACTAAATTAACATGAAAGAACGTAACAAAGATGATTTATTTACGCCAAAATCACACACAGAATTTATGCACATCTGACCTTTGAGAAAATCGAGACTGGGAATTGCAAAATTGTGTAGCTCCGTCGATCAAGATCACGAAAAAGAGAATTGGAAATCACGATAAAAGAGAAACTAATCGAATTAGTGTTGCGTGATAACGAATTACGGTTTCGACCGCAGATCTCAACAAGCATCAGTGTGAGGGATGGGTTTATCCATAGGTAAGTCGCCCCTGATGGGAAATGAGGAAAGTGACAGATTTACCGTAGAAACACAGAGGTTGGTTACGGACATTATAACTCCGAATTGTATACCGACTAGCCGACCTCTTTTTTCAAAACAATAAACCAAAGACACAATACACAACTTCTCCCGTTCATCCAACGTACTGTAATAAGATATCCGTAGTTGTCTTGATTTCTTAAATACTCTGATTTTACGTTAAATAAATAAATGAAGTTTTAAAAACTAATTGTCATATTATCTACTATATTAGCTCATTAGTGGTGTCACATACTATGTCAAAAAAATCAGTAAATGAAAATAACATTTTATGTATACAAATTTAAATTTTATTCATTTGAAAAAGTTACCTACTACTTCTCTTAAAGATGATGGTCAAAATTAAATGTTGCATCTCATGGATTTTAGACCATTACTTATACACTACCTAAAAAAGTGACACATTCTAGAGGTAATACTACATAGTTAAATAAAGTAGTTTTAGTATAACTTGAGAAATAATTTTGATGGCGATTACAACGGAGGAGTTGATGACAAATGACAATGGTGTTGTTATGGGTGCATTAACTGTAATATGTGAAGACGTAGTTGTAATTCAAAGAGTTAATTATTTCCTAGATTGGAATTAGAACCTTGATATGGGACATCTAAATATCAACTCCTCATTTTGGCTCCTATAAAATTGTTGTTGAAACAACAATCCTGATATCAAATCAATGTTCTTTTTGGATATGTTTGGGAGTTGGATTTTGGAGAGGATGATTTACAACTGTTTATGGTATTCCCTTTCATGTTTGAGAGTTAAAAAGATGGAGGGGATGGTTTTGAAGGGCTTTTGCAACCCTCCAAAACCTTTCAGACGATCAACTTTCAAGTTCCCCCAAATTGGGAAATATTTAAGATAACTAATTAAATGACAACTTTAGCTCAATTTTAACTAAATATAAATTCAATTATTTGAATTCGTCATGTGAAGTGATTACAATTATAATTCATCCAAAAAAAATCTTTTCAAACTTGATACTCCCAAACAAGAAGAAGGGTTTCCAACCCTTCCCGTCCCTTCCCTTCCAATGACTAACCAACAAAATCTTCCCCTCCTCTTCCGGTATTGGGCTTAGAAGTTGTATAAATCAAGAGATTGCGTATGTAGTAGGGGTATCATGTACAAATCACCAAAATGATCAACTGTCATAAATCAAATTCAACCTCAAACCATCAAAACAAAATAGCCCGAGAATATCCCCTGAGAAATGAATATAGTATATTACACAAAAGTACATCCACATGCTTTCAAGATTATAGATTTGAAAAAGGAAGTGAATAAGTTTCAAAGGAAGTGAATAAGTTTCAAGGTTGCTTTTAGGATGTTGAATTACAAGAGTTCAGGAAGAGGTAACTAGCATCCTCGAAATCACGTTGGTACAACCTCATCATCACCATGAAGAATTGACAACTGAAAGAGGAACAGCCCGACAAAGATAACCAGAAGTATCAACTGTGAAAAGAAGCAAAAAGCATGTTTATAGACATGCTTCTGTAGCCTTAAGGTGTCATAAGCAGTGGCGACCATATTTTCACAGTAAGTCTCCACCTTTTCTGCTTCATCTTTCAGCATCACAGCCTTTTCTTGTGCACTTCCCAGTTTGTTTGCAATTTTTGCTTGCTCTGAAGCTAAAGCCTTTTGCTCCTCTAAGAGAGTAATTTGATCAGCTGCTGCAGCTTTTGACAACAAGACCTCAACTTCGGCTTCTATTTTCTGTCTATAGAGGCCCTCAAGTTCTGTTTCCAAATCTGTAGAGAACTGTATTGATTGGGCTGTGCTTGGGCCTTGATGTAGACCGATAGAAGTGAAATTCGAAGCTTCAGTGCCATCTTGACATGAAAAGTCGACCAGAATGTCTTCTTTTGCTATTTCTTTTAACTTTTCAACCTCTGCTCAAAGATAAAAGCATTTGCAACTAAATTATGTCCAATCAACCGCCCAGTATAAAAATGGAGCTTAAATCATCTACTCATCCGAAAAAGAAGTCATAACCCACAAAAAGATGTGTGATATAAGTCCAGATCTCAAAAAAATCAACAAAGACATCACAGAATGTAAAACTTTGTAATGCAAGTGCAGAACACTCTAGAAGTAAGTCGGAATAATCACAGAATAGTTGAAGTGTGACCAATCAGTGTGCTCATAAGAAAATATTGCACGTGAAACTCATTAATATTTTACTCCCTCTGCCCTAAAAAGAGCCATGTTTCTAGAGCAAGATGTCCCAATTTTAATCAAACGAAACAATTTTTGTCTAACTTTCTTTAAATAGTCACAAGACAAGTTTTCATATGATGAATTTAATTAATCCAACAAAAAACAAGTTCCCTGCATAAACACAAAGTACAGTAGTTGTACTTCACAAAAATCATAAGTTGTACTTTATTCAAACATGACTTGCATTTTTATGACAGGTCTAGTAATTAATAATGACAAAAATGTTTTCCAAACTAACTCCTAATACCCAAGAATCCTAGTGCTAATAAATCCAAATTGTGCTCACACGCAAGCAATGACCATAAGAATTAATTAGTCGGTCCATGCAATTTTGGACGGGATTTTCACTATGGGTCATCCGGAAACAGTCTCTCTGTGCTTTAGTACAGGGGTAAGACTGCGTACATCCGACCTCCCCTTACCCCACCATAGGTGGGAGCCTTTGCGGCACTGAGGTTAATGAAAATGAAAAATGTGATGATACATCTCTATCATTCCTTGACAGGTTCTTACAATTATTAACAGATTACTTTATCATGATATATTTTCTTTTATAAAAGCTATGACTATAAAAGCAAAAGACACGATGTAAACAATAGGTAAGGAAATAAATGCACATTATTATTCGAGTTTATAAAATGGATGGAAGGAAGACCCACCCCTTTCTAATGCTTCCTTTGCAGCTTGGAGCTTGAAGATTGATTCAACTACAGGATCATAATTGGTTGATGTACCTTGGTTCTCATTTTTTCCCTCTTTTCCATCCCAAGATGACTCAGCAGATAGACCTTCCTGCAATACATCTTCATGCTCTCCACTATTTCCCTCATTGTAACTAGCTTTTCCTTCACCGTCCATACCTTCATCACTAGCTTTTGTCCCATTCTGACTTTTCAGACAACGAGTGCCCTGCATAAACACAAAGTTGGAGCTTCTTGAGTCGGACTCCATGCTGGAATAAGAGTTTTCCTTCTCAATTTTGACCCTTTCGCCTCTATGCTTTTTACTAGATTCTATCACAGCTATTCTCGGCTGCGATGCTTTCTTCTGAACTGATGAAACGCCAATATTTCTTCGATTAATATTAACCAAGTTGTTCTTATTTGGTGGAGCACTAGCTGCAGTTGAAGACTTACTACTACTATCCTCCTCACTGTTCTCCGAATCCGCACCAGTCAAGAAAGCATGGCCATAGGAAGCCTCTGAATTACAACTCATGCCCAGATTACTAACAAATTCATTAGGGAATGAAACAGTATCATCACTCTTTTGTGAGATTTCACCTTGAAAATGCACAGATTTTGCAGAGTCGTTATGAGAAACAGGCAGACCACGCTTCATAATCAACTTACTACCACCTGCGTTATTATCTCCATCATTCCATACTTCCTCCCTCCTGATCCTCCTCCATTTCTTCAATCCATAACCCTTCTTTGCCGATGCAGAAGCTGATTTGACAGCCTCCTCAGTGATTTTAGCTGCCTTCCCCGTAGTTTCTATTGATTCGTCAATATGCTCATTACGATTATTTTTATAATCTTTCAGTTTTACATCATCAACACCAACAACTGGTTTGTCAGAGTTTGTATTCGCAATTGTTTCACCCGCCTCCACCGGTTGAGATGCAGAACACTCGCAATCCAACTCCATCGCAGCTAAAGCGCTAAAGCTTTGAGCTCGAACCCGCAAGTCACACTCAGATCAAGATCGAAATCTTGAACCTTACAACTCCAGCATTGTCTACTCTACCGATCCGACTATACCAAATTCCTACTAACAAAAATAACAACAATACGCAATCAAAATCAATAAATAGCGTACCTTTTGGTCCATGACCAATGCATCAACTAGGACGATAACTGTGGGCGAACGGAAACCCTAAATGCCACTGTGAATGTGGAAGAACAGCCCACGAAATTGCATATACTTTTTAACAAGTAAAATGCAAACAACTAAACGAATTGTTTGATGAAATTTCTTTGGCTTTTTCTGGGAAAAACGTAATGAGATAAGAGTGCTCACGAGTTCTTCTTGCCTTCTTGGCAACTAGTCAGTTAAGATCAGAGCACTATATAGTTGGAGCTTAGATCAGAGCAATAGGCCTGGGCTTGGCATAAAATGATATTTTATGTTTTACATTTTAGACCAGGGTGCACAATTATTTATAGTGCTGTTTGATTTGATTTAAGTGGGAGTGTGATAGGATGACAGCTCAGCCACCTATTAAATATTTTAATAAAGTTTATCAAAGGAAGAGGGGAAAGGCAGTTTAGTAAATTTGCTCATAAGTTAGTTATTTACTTTTGTCCCTGCGTGGACACTTTACTATAAATAGTTTGTTAGTAGCTAATAAATGCAGGCTGAATTTAGTGGATGTCAGAACTTTTTGGAGGTTGGGCCCCTCGAATTTGCCCTGAGCACTGTATCCTCTTGTGATCTGTTCGGTTGGATAATAAAATTCCCGATCATCTCTCCCATTTCTTACTGAGTTTTCTATCTATTTTGACCATTCCTATCACTGGTATCAGAGCAATCGCTCTTGGGGGGAATCGGAAAGTGAATTCCGACGGCAAGACAATCTGCGTACAGAGGTGGATGGTTAGAACGAGGTCAAAAATGGAAAACCGAGTTGATACCTTGGAACGGGAACTCGCAAACATCGCAGCTTCAATAGCGACGATGAACGAACAAATTCAGAGCAACGTAACAGCTTCGATGGCCGCCATGAACGAACAGATCCAGAGCCTTCGCGATCAGCCACGGGGAAGATCGCGATCACAAACTCGCCACCATTCGCGATCGACCCACAGCCCTGAGCCATCGAGAGGTAATTCTGTACATTCTCAAGCTCGCTCTCGAAGGATACATACTGGCAGGAAGGTAGACCTACCTCTATTTAATGGGGAGGGTGCTTACAACTGGATCGTGAGAATGGAGCGCTATTACCGACTGAACCAGATAGATGAGGAAGATAAAGTAGAAGTCGTTGTAGTTGCGATGGAGGATCGGGCCTTAAACTGGTTTCAGTGGTGGGAACACCAAGCCGAGGAGAGAACTTGGGAAAATTTGAAGGATGCGGTGATCCGAAGGTTTCAACCTGATTTAATACAGAATCCGTATGGGCCTATGCTGAGCTTGAAGCAAACGGGTACTGTGCAGGAGTACAGGGATGAATTCGAGATGGTTATAGCTCCCCAGAAAGACGTGGACAGAGGTATTCTGAGAGGCATCTTCATTAATGGTCTCAAGGAGGATGTTAAAACTGAACTAAAACTGTATAATTCCAGGTCCCTATCGGCAATCATGGATAGGGCATTGTTGATTGAACAACGAAATGATGTTGTGTATTGGAAACCTAAGGGGGAGGAAAGAGCAGGTGGGAAGGATAAGAGCAACATGAATGTCAAACCACCAGTATGGGGAGAAGGATTTAAGGCAAAAAGTGGACAACCATGGTCCAACACTGGAATTAAAAACACTGCAGATAACAAAGGCAAACAGCCTTGGTACACTCCTGCAGGGGTAAGGGTGACTGAAATCAACCCCTCAGGTATCAAGCGGGTAGGGCCACAACTTTCTCAAGAGGAATATCAAGACAGGAGTAGGAGGGGACTCTGTTTCAAGTGCGGGGAAAAGTGGAGTAAGGAACACACCTGCAAACTGAAAAATTACAAACTGATATTAGTAGAAGATTCTGATGAAGAGGTGGAGTCAGAATCAACTGAACCTGAACTAGCTGAGGAAGAGGAGATCAATATGGAGTCAAAAACCATGCAGCTCTCTGTGATGAGCAGGGAAGGGATACCTTCCATGAAAGCTTTTAAGGTGAGAGGCAGTCTGAAATGGAGCCAAGGGGAATTTTCAGTAGAAGCATTGATTGATAGCGGGGCCACTCACAACTTCATATCTCAAGAACTGGTGGAAAAGTTGGGCATACCCTACCAGACCATTGCTGGGTACAAAGTGCAGGTAGGGAACGGTGATAAAATCTCGAATAATGGCAGGTGTGATGGGCTGAGCTTAAGGCTGCAGGACACCACTATTAACCAGAAGTTCTATGTATTAGAATTAGGGGGTACTGATTTGGTTCTTGGCATGGAATGGCTGACTACCTTAGGGGATGTGGAAGTGAATTTCAAGAAGCAAATCATCACATGGCAACAATTGGGAGTAAGGCAGTCCATCCAAGGGGACTCACAGCTCAATTCACTTGAAGTATCTTTGCAGACCATGACCCAGATCATACAGGACAATGGGGATGGATATCTTATCTTATGTGAAGGCATTCTTACAGAAGAAAAAGAAGAAAATATGAAGGATCAGGGGTGGGAGGAATTGTTGGCAGAATTCAAAGAGGTAACCACTCCTTTGCAAGGGTTACCACCCCACAGAGCATGTGATCATGCTATCAACATCAAGGAGGGAGCTGACATACCCAACATCCGACCCTATAGGTACCCCCAGTATCAAAAAAATGAAATAGAGAAGATCATCAAAGAAATGCTGCAGTCTGGAATTATTCAACACAGTAACAGCCCATATAGCAGTCCTATATTGTTAGCCAGAAAGAAAGATGGGGGATGGAGGTTCTGTGGGGACTATAGAGCCCTAAATCAGATTACTGTCCCTGACAAGTTTCCCATACCCATTATTGAAGAGCTGTTGGATGAGCTAGGAGGTGCCATAATCTTTTCAAAACTAGATCTCAAGTCGGGGTATCACCAAATAAGAATGAAGGAGGCAGATATACAGAAAACTGCTTTTAGAACCCACGAAGGGCATTATGAGTACTTGGTCATGCCCTTTGGGTTAACCAATGCCCCCTCCACTTTTCAGGCTCTAATGAATCAGGTATTGAGACCATTTTTGAGAAAATTTGCTTTGGTTTTCTTCGATGACATCCTTGTGTACAGCAGATCTAAAGAAAACCACCTTATGCACATGAGAGAAGTGTTATCTATGTTAAAGGAGAATCAGTTGGTTATTAATTTGAAGAAATGCTCTTTTGGAAGGTCCTAATTGGTGTACTTGGGTCATATTATATCTGGACAGGGTGTGGCAGCTGATCCAGCCAAAATAGAAGCTATGCTCAGTTGGCCAGAACCTAAGAATCTGAAAGGGTTAAGAGGGTTTCTTGGGCTGACTGGATATTATAGGAAGTTCGTGAAGAATTATGGTAAACTTGCCTTACCTCTTACCCAATTACTCAAGAAGGACAGTTTCAAATGGGATTCAAATGCCACTACTGCTTTTACTGAACTGAAACAAGTCATGACCTCTCTCCCGGTGCTAGCAGTACCAGATTTCAACAAACTCTTCATACTAGAGACTGATGCCTCAGGTACAGGGCTAGGGGCAGTCCTGATGCAGGAAGGGAGGCCCATAGCTTATATGAGCAAAGAACTATCCAAGAAAAATCAGTGCAAGTCAGTTTATGAAAGAGAGCTCATGGCTATCGTTTTAGCTGTACAGAGATGGAGGCCATATCTGTTGGGTAGATTTTTTGAGATCCATACAGATCAAAAAAGCTTAAGGTTTTTGGCTGAACAGAGAATTATGGGGGAGGAGCAGCAGAAGTGGACCTCTAAATTGCTAGGGTACAATTTTACCATCAAGTACAAACCTGGAATTCAAAATAGAGCTGCTGATGCCTTATCTAGAAGACCTATTCTACACTCACTCTCCATTGTCACTTGTCAAGAGTGGGAGGGGTTAGAGGAGGAGCTACATTCTGACCCTAAATGCCATGACCTGATTCAGAAGATCATCTCTCAACCTGATCAGCATCCAGACTTTCAGATTATTAAAGGGTTATTGTATTACCAGAAGAAGCTGGTACTGCCTAGGCAGTCCCCTAGAGTACTCAAGGTATTAAAAGAATATCATGATTCATCAGTGGGAGGTCATTCAGGGTACTTTAGAACCATGAAGAGGATCAGCAATCTGTTTTATTGGTATGGAATGAAGACTGACATAAAAAATTTTGTTGAAGGATGTATCACTTGCCAAACAAATAAATATCAAGCTCTGAAACCCGCTGGATTGCTACATCCCCTGCCCATTCCCAGCAGTATTTGGACAGACATCAGTATGGACTTCATTGGGGGGCTACCAAGATCCCAGGGCAAAGATACAATCTTAGTAGTGGTGGACAGATTGACGAAATATGCACACTTCTTAGCTCTATCTCATCCCTACAATGCCAAGGAAGTTGCAGATTTATTCACAAAAGAGGTGGTTAAACTACATGGATTTCCTAAATCTATTGTAAGTGATAGGGATAGGGTATTTATGAGCTCCTTCTGGTCAGAGCTTTTCAAATTGGCAGGTACCCAGCTTAAATTCAGCACAGCCTACCATCCTCAGACAGATGGTCAGACTGAGGTTGTAAATCGTTGCCTGGAAACATATTTGAGATGCCTCACTGGGAGGAAGCCTAGACAGTGGACCCATTGGCTACATTGGGCTGAATTCTGGTACAACACCAACTACCACTCTTCTTTGAAATTGACCCCTTACAAAGCATTATTTGGGCAAGACCCTCCTGCAGTCATCAGGGGGGATGTGTCTTTAACTGCTGTGGAGGAAGTATCTAAATTGACAGCCCAAAGGAATGCCATGTTGGAGGAATTAAAAGGAAACCTAGCTCAAGCTCAGAATCTAATGCAACAACAAGCAAATAAGCATAGGAGGGAGATGGAGTTGACTGAGGGAGACAGTGTCTATCTCAAAATACAGCCTTACAAACTTCAAAGTCTGGCCAAGAGGATTAATCAGAAGCTGAGCCCCAGATTTTATGGCCCCTTTCAGATATTGGAGAAAATTGGCCCTGTAGCTTATAAACTCAAACTTCCAGAGAACAGCCGGATACATCCTGTATTCCATGTTTCCTTATTGAAGAAGGCCTTAGCACCTACTACTGTTTGCCAGGACCTGCCCAAATGCCTTAATGAAGAACTAGAGCTACAAGTGATACCAGAAGAGGTGGTGGAGAGCAGAAGAAACCAGGAAGGAAAAGAGGAGGTTCTCATACATTGGAAGGGTTTACCAAAATTTGAAGATACTTGGGAAGATGCACAAGTAATGAAGGATCTATTCCCTGAGTTTCACCTTGAGGACAAGGTGAATTTTCAGGGAGGGAGTATTGATAGGATGACAGCTCAGCCACCTATTAAATATTTTAATAAAGTTTATCAAAGGAAGAGGGGAAGGGCAGTTTAGTAAATTTGCTCATAAGTTAGTTATTTACTTTTGTCCCTGCGTGGACACTTTACTATAAATAGTTTGTTAGTAGCTAATAAATGCAGGCTGAATTTAGTGGATGTCAGAACTTTTTGGAGGTTGGGCCCCTCGAATTTGCCCTGAGCACTGTATCCTCTTGTGATCTGTTCGGTTGGATAATAAAATTCCCGATCATCTCTCCCATTTCTTACTGAGTTTTCTATCTATTTTGACCATTCCTATCAGAGTGATTTGATTCAATTTAATTTTATTGAGTTTCATATACTCTCTACGGTCCTTAATTAATTTTTACATTTTCTTTTTTGGGTCGTCCATATTAAACTTTACACTTCCTTACTTGCCTTATTTAGCAAACAAATCTACACCAAACAGTGCAAAAGTGACAAACAGTGTGAAACATCGTCAAACAGTGTACTCTACAGTAAAGTCAAAGTCTAAAGTTTAATAAGGATCGGAGGGAGTATTTATTTACTTTTTATCCGTACATCTCACATCTATTTTTTACAAATAGAAAACAAAAATACTTATCCATCCATCTTGTTGTATTTGTTATAATGTTATTTAAATAAAAATTTAAGGGAAAAACATTTAAGGACGGAAAACATCTTTAAGCTACAAAAGTCATAAAGTTCAAAACATTGCTCACCCTTAGCAAAATATTTTTCAACATTCTGGAAAACAGATTGATTTGAATGTTTGAAGGAATGAAAGAAAAAAGAAAAGTGTGAATTGATATTGTCCCACGAGTAGGTGATAATACATAGGATGCCATATTTTGATTATCATTTCCTTAAGTCAATTTTTATTGAATTTTAAATTTTTGGAGTATAATAGAATCATAAACATTTCATCCTTACGTATATAAACTATAGGTGAGCTACCCGCATGAAATTAAATAATGTATATTGCCTAAAATAAAATAGCAAAGACAATAATAAAATCATTTGTAACAAAGACATTAACAAGCAATAACAACCTCATTCAATGAGCTTTATAATATTAATGATTACATATTGGATCACATTGATTGTGAGGTAAAGACTAAGGATGTTTTTACTTGAAGTGTTTTCAATCCCAGACCAGATCAGACTTAAATAGATCAGATCGGACCTGACTTCCATGGTCATAAAATACAGAAAGACCAGACATTTACCAGACCATACCAACTCAGACCAGATTAGGCCAGACTTAAACACATTAGATCAGACCAGACTTAAACAGAGCAGACCAGACCAGCAAATTTTAGTTCAAGTAAAAACATCCGAATATGCACTCAGATTGAGCATTTTCGTCTAGCTCAAATTGTGACCTTTTACACAAAATACATTCTCTTGGACATCTTAATAACATTAAATGTTTCAGTTTGCCGAGTTATGAGCTCGATTAAAGCTGAAAAGTGGAAGTGCCTTTTATGCTTGTGAAGAATATATATTACATCATTCATGTGAATTGTGAAACGGCACACTACTCCTAGTGACTAAATTTGGGCTCATATTATCAAGGCTCAAATGATGCATTGAGAAAATACGGTGAAAAGTTTCTTATTCATAGACTCAGTTTAACGCCACCGAACGTCAGATTCCTGTTCTCTTTTCAGCAAATATAATTTTCATTAATTCTTAGACATGTCATCATCATCATTACCCCAATGTTGCAAAGGCTCTGACCAACGGTGAAGTAAGGTGGTCGGATGTACGAAGTCTTTCTCCTATTTTCCATTTTCCGGATGACGCACAGTGAAAATCGCGTCCAAAAGTACATTGACTAACTGTTGTTTCATAACAAATAAGCACAAATAGTTTAGTGAGTCATTTTGCCTTATTCCATCATATTCCATTGCAAATGATGGAAAAGTATTCTTAACAGCCACATGTAGTTTTTGGGATAAGATGGCGTCTCCCTCTATCGTCCCATTTTTACGCATGAAAAATTGTGGTCTTGTAAATGGTAATGGTGGTGTCGAGAGTAAAAAAATCCATCTTGTTTGAATTTTATGTAATTTACAAAGATGAATGGCATAGCAAATATGCTTTGGATCGTGTATATAAAAAAAAATTACAGTAACTTGTGATTTTCATTGACAATTGCATGGACATACATACATTTAATTTTTACAATTTATTACTTCTTATATATGATATTATACAAAGAGCAATAAACTCTTATATGTTATTACTTTAGTTTTGTAGTTTCATTTTTATATAATTACTTTGTATGTAATTCACTTTCATGCAACGCACAAGTTGAGTAACTAGTTCTTTTTACGATTTTATTAATCAGTATTCACTTTCGATTCTTTTAGTTTGAGAGATATTGTATCAAACTAATCGTTTTTTGTGTTTCAATTAGGTTTTAGTTCGGTTTGAGAGAGGTTTGATTTGATTTCAAGTTTGGATTACCACCTTGTAGATAAGCAAAATAGTAATCCATCCACCTTGTTGTATTTGTTATATATTTAAATCAAATTAAATTTTAAGAGCAATAAAAGATAGGAAACAATTATAAAATATTACAGAATATAAATTAAAAACTTTTTTACTAGTTTTTTCTCAATCACTAACAAAAAGATTCACTCTCTCACAAAAGTTCACTTTATAGATGATTAACATTTACGGAGTATATTATCACATAAATATTCAAAGAAAATTAAATGAATTGGTAGTAAAACAAGTAATGTAAAACTTCCATTTTTATTCAAATGAATCTTGTAAAATGTATAGGGTACTATAGTTTAACTGAAATTGACATGAGACAGTATCTGCCATTGCTTAATTTAAGCACTTTTCAATTTTTGACTTTGAAAAGGCCAAAATTAGTGTTTGCAAAAGAAAAATTCTGCTTAGTTTAAGTAATTTTAAGCCAAAAATTGAAAGATGGGTTGAAGATGCTTTTATCTCCTTCTAGAATTTTTCATAAATAAGTCTGTTGAGGTATAGTATCCCGTCCTACCACTGTTCAGGAGCCCAAGACATTACCCAACACAGAACCCGATCAGTGAGGCCCGTTTCGGCCATCCGGTCCACCTTGACCCAGAAGTCCCACCTTGACTCGTTGGCCCATTAGGGTGGAGTGCACCTCCTCCCCCTTTGCCTATAAGTATAGGAGGACTTCCCTCCTTATTAGGAGGCCCATCTTCTCCTTCTCTCTTTAGCTAGTTTATCCCCCACTAATGGGAAGCTGACGAAAAGACCTACATGAATTCTAGGGCTATGCCCCAGAACCCTTTCTCACGCGCCCTCACTCGCAGTTCTTGAGGGTCAAAACGTTAGTTTTCCGACAAACTTTGTAAATCACCGATGTCCAGGTCAAAACTTAGGCAAATCTGATCAAATTCTTTCAAAGTCAAACCTAAGGTCTAAGCTGCAATGTAGAGGTCCGAAAATCGTAGATAATTCAATCAACCTCGCGTCAACGGTCATCTTACAACAATCAACAATCAACTACTGAAGCCTCCCCTAACTCATTAACATTGTGTGATCCTCAAACATGCTGAAATTCCAAATGATGAGCTAAGGGAAACCGTCATGTGTGGTTCCTGTTCAGATTGTTCCACACACATGGCGGGCATGACGAGCTGTGAGCAATCAATCCTTGCACATTCTGAGGGGGAGTTTCAGTTTTCTCCTCTAAGCGCCGTACACCGACAAAGTAAGGAATCTCTCAACGGATGCAACATTCTAGGGGGGTGTTCAATGTTATCCTCCCCGGTCCCCAACAATGACAAAGCATACCGAGTGCTCCAGTTGAGGGGGAGTACAGAGAGAAAATATGTCACGCCCCAGACCGCATCTAGGTGCGTGTACAACCGCTGTATGACCAAGTAACGCCACTCGCAAGTCAACGTGTCTTAACCATACAAGGCGTCCATGAACATAATATATATCCATACTCAGTAGTAAACATACACAACAACATCACAGTTTAGATTAGTTGAATAGCGGAAATATTCAATAATCACTCGTGGTCCACACATGGCCAAAATGTAGGCTCGCATGCCAAAACAATGTATTAATACAAAAGTATCCATGAGCATAGTTTATCTTTTGAAATAGTAGAGGGAGCACGAACCACGTCTTCCTCTGGATTCTCTTCACCCGTGCAAAGGTGTAGATGACGAGCCTTAACTTCAACCTGAAATGGTGGGCCCCCCCGAAGGGGTCAGTATAAGTACCGAGCGAGTAGCAGACTGAATATAGAATAACTAACGTTTCAAGTATAAGACCCAAACATAGGGTGATACTTATGTAAATAGTCTTTTCCCCCAAGTTAAGAAATACTTAGTAGTACATATACACTTGGAAAATACCCGATCCGTGGATCACCGTTTTATTTGGGAAAATATTAATAGTCAATATCCTTGACTAAAAACCCCAACCCACCCATATGCCTATGAGTGTATAGGACTCCTCCTTGTCCATACTTCAATATCATAACCTATGAGTTTTGAGGATCAAAATCCATGGGTACTCCACCAAATTGGTATTTGAGTGTTAAGGACTTTTAGTCCTAGGGTCCTCCACCAATTTATTATCCGAGTGTTAAGGACTTTAAGTCCTAGGGTCCTCCACCAATTTATAATCCGAGTGTTAAGGACTTTAAGTCCTAGGGTCCTCCACCAAAATATGAGTGTTAAGGACTTTTAAGTCCTAAGGTCCTCCACCAAAATATGAGTGTTAAGGACTTTTAAGTCCTAGGGTCCTCCACCAAAATATGAGTGTTAAGGACTTTTAAGTCCTAGATTCCTCCACCAAAATATGAGTGTTAAGGACTTTTAAGTTTTAGGGTCCTCCACCAAAATATAATCCTATGATCAACCTATTATCAACCTAGATAGGGTCTATATCATATTCATTCATTCATAGCTAAACCAATACATAAAGTTTATGTATCACAATCCATGCAAAGCCACGCGTTTATATAAATTCATAATTAACTAATACCATCCGGTATCAATTAATCCAGTATCCATCGGTCAACATTTTCATTGACCGCCATTTCAAACCTTCTATGTATCAACTTAATCATCATATAATTAAGTTAATAATGTTCATTTGTGCTCCTCTTACGCTTCAAGCAAACATGCATTTTATATAATTTCTCATAACATATTTCATGCATAAACAATTAATTCCTTTCATACAAACTTAACCATGTTGGCTAATCACGTGTTTAAATACCTTTTAAACATAATTATGAACACA